TCATTCCCTACGAGACCACTGATGAAGACCCCAGGAAAAGAAACATCTTGCGTAGCTTGAGAAGGACCACCAAGGTAACACCTGTGTGTGCACGTCTGAGTGTGTGTCCGTGTGTACTCCAAATGGTCTGGTTTAGAGCAGGGGTGTGTGTGATGGTCCTTTTAAAGTCCCCAAGTCATAAAAGGAAGATAGTTCCCCACTCCTGCGTTAGAGGGTCATCCAATTGTTTGCTAATACAACAGAAAAATAATTAGGAGTGGTTTGGGATGTTTGAACAGAGGGGTACCTGTATTTTAGGAGTCTCGGAATAGAGGGCTGCGTTTCTGCGTAAGACCTGGGCAATTGATTTGCTCTTTAGCTCTCTATTTGAGAAACATTGGGAACAAATGTTAAAGGATTCAATATTGATTTAAAGATAACATTTTGGTTTCAGAAATGAAGGTGTGGAACTTTGAAGACACCGGGTGACCTTGGGTCAGTCGCTCTTCCTCTCAGCCCAACTCAGGATTGTTGTGTGGGAACACGCAAGGAAGGAGTGCTATTTACACTGCCTTGAATTGCACAGAAATAATGGATGCTAATCTGATCAACAGATTCTCAGGAGACTCTGCCCCTTTGCATTCTGAGAAGCTAGCCAGCAATAATGCTCTGATGATAATCTCTGATCAGAGTTACAGTTTAGGGGCCCGTTCAATAATTATAAGAAAAGCATTCTAATCAGATATTAATACAATTGTGCTTTTTTTTAATGTAAGATTCCATATCTGCCTTTTAAATCCGGCTTCAGAAAGCAATTTTCAAATAAGCAGCTGGCCCTTTTGAAAATGATGAATTTTGAAGAGCTAGTTGTCAAGTATACAATATGGACTTTGTGTTTCAAATTATTTTCTGGGAACCTCCATCACTGTTCCGGTTTGTAATAAGACATCCAAAATACGCCAAAAAGGACAGATTGTAACGTCAATAGGAAGTGCCAGATAATGTCTATATGTTTTCATTTCTCATGCGATTCTCAAACCAATCCCCTTAATCTATAGTGCTGTAGAGGAGTTTGAAATGACATCAGAAAGGATTCCTTTCTTCCACAGAAGGACCGGGGTCTCTTTAAACAATGCTGTGGCTGCTTTACAAAATGGTGGTGAGTTCATTCTTGCTGCAGTTGTCCTGCTGCCAGCAGGGTGGACTTCTCCACATTGGCAGGAGAGCTCTGTTACTGTAAGAGGGGGGTGGGTGGAATACAAAAGCAAGCGAGATAGGGTTGGTTTTTTTTTAATGCCCTCTATTTGAAAAAGCTTGGGTAATGACTCAGAGCTTGCTACTTTAAAAAAAACCCAACTATATTTTATTTTGAAGTTATGCGATGGTTGTATGCTTTGCGAGCTGAAAGCAGGAAAAAAGCCAACCGCTTTTTTCCTCGCAGTCTACAAAGGCACCTCGCATCTCCTAATGGGAAAACAACCCCCGATTAGAAAGGATATGAACATTATTAACTCTTCCATTCCTTTATGGGGCAGGGGGAATAACCCCCTCGAGGCTCCTTTTTGTACCAGGCCACCTGTTTGAACTGTTGGCGTAAAAAAAAAGATGAAATCAGGTGTCAAGAGAGAGTCCGTGGCCAAGAGAACTCTTCCAGCAGGTTGCCGAAATTCAAACTTGCCATCCAGGCAGGAACCAAAAACGGCTCGCTAGAAAATTCAGGGTGGGAAGACGGAAGAGCTGCTGACCTGCCTCTTAATCAGCAGGGGGAGCACAGACGGGCCACGGAGCTCGCTCAGTGGGTCGGATTTCAAAGCTGGCGCACGGGAAAGCTTCAAGAACCGGAAAAAGTTTCCTACGTATATTGGCTGCCGGAAAATCACAGAGACAGGCAGTCCTCGACTTACGACCATAACTGAGCCAAAAACGTCTGTTGCTAAGCCAGGGGGTTGCTAAATGAGCTTAGCCCCCCATCTTACAGCCTTTTTTGCCACAGTGGTTAAGTGAACCACTGCGGTTAAGTGACTCGTGAGGTCGTTAAGCTTCCCCCGTTGGCTTTGCTTGTCAGAAGGTCGCAAAAGGATGATTTCATGACCCCCGGATAGTGCAACGCTCCTAAATACATGCCAGTTGCCAGGCGCCCAAATTTGGATCATGTGACCGCAGGGATGCTGGAACGGTCATAACTCATGAAAAACAGCCGTAAGTTGCTTTTTGTTTCTTTGCCGTTGTAACTTTGAACGGTCACTAAACCCATGGTTGTAAGTCAAGGACTACCTAAGGAACAGGTCAATTGTTAAACGGCTGACAGAGTTGTAAAGGAGCCACTGTGATTGTCAAGCAAAGCCATGATTCACTATGGGTGTGCTTTGGCCAAGCACCGGGAGAAATTGCTAGTTTTCGGCAAAACCATCGTAAAATGTGATTGTGTGACTGCGGGATTCTGCAGATGGCTGTCAAGGCAGTCCCTTTGGCCCAGGGCCTGAAGTGGGATCGCAGAAGGGACATGATCCTCAGAACTTTAAACCAGGTTTAAAGAGACTCCATTTCCTTAGGGTCTTGCAAAAGAATAAAGTGGAACAATGACTGATGACCTCCTTTGATCGGTGCCACAATAGAAAGCGTCCTCACATATTGCATGACGGTGTGGTACGCTGGCTTGACAGCCACGGATAGAAAGACACCGCAGAAGGTGGTGAGCACAGCACAAAACATCGCGGGCTGTCCCCTGATACCACTGGATGACCTCGCTAGGGCTCGCTGCCTTAGAAGAGGGAGGAAAATCCTTAGGGACGACTCACACCCTGGTCAGCCCTTCTTCCCTCTCCTACCATCGGGTAGGAGATAGAGAAGCTGAGCCAGCCGCACTAACAGGCTGAAGAACAGTTTCTACCCGTGGGCTGTCAGACTCCTGAACGGAAAATAACTTCATGCCAACATAGTAGGATAGAACTGCAGGGACGGCACCTTGTGCAACAAGGTCACTTAGTGTAATAAGATTGGAAATGGGTTAGGGACTTCTGTCCTCCCTGTGAGTTGCATTGTGGGGGGTGCACGAAGGGAGGCTCAGCCAATCTCGGAGTACACATGTTGTACTCTGACAATAAAGGTAATAATAAAGTAATAATCATAAAGTTATAGGTAGCCCCAAGGTAGGTCTGTTGGAAACTCGGACCCTCGCTAAGCAACCGGTCATAAGTCAAAGACCCAACTGTGTGCAAGTGGATTTTAGAGTGGAGGGCATTCATTGTCATGTTGTGTCTCTCATAGCAGAATCTTCTCTAAAATGCATGGCTAGCCTTTATTTATTCTTCAGCCATTGTACACCTTTCAGGGATGTGAAAGCCTCTTTGTAGCTCAATCATAGTTTGGGCTTATTACCCTGATAGATAGAAATGTGTGATAAAAGGGTGTGTGTGTGTGTGTGTGTGCGTTACAGTTTATCCATAGGTAAAAGGGGCCTTTGTGTCCACCTTTTTTCTTCTCTCTATATGCACACAGGCAGCGTGCCAAGATAATGGCTATCGGCCATATTGCAAAATTAATACGGCTTAGGCGCTTAAATGTGGACTGCCTTTGCTGCTTCATTAGGCCTGCTCTCAACTGACTCTGTCATGGATTTCTAGCTGCTTCTGTCACATTGATTTTTTTCCATGATAAATCAACTTTGATTTTTAATCTGCATTCCTGCGCTGTTAAGTTCAGGAGCTGACTCAACATATAGCGGAAGTCACTTCTGCAGGAAAACAATGACTGAATCCACTATACTTCCCCATTTAAATATAGCAGGAGAAATCCTAACCGTATTGGACTCAAAAAAAGAAGATCCGGTCGATTCCATCTGTAGAAAACAATTAAAGAAAGTTTACAGATTTCATGATCCCCAGTATGCCTTAACCAGTAGACCCAGCTCCCTCTCTTAATTGTTATTTACTAACTATGCCTCAAAGCAGACATCTGGGGGCTGAAAGTTATTAGGACGGTCAGTGGGAATGGACGTACCTTGGAGTTTTTCAGAGTATGTTCCTTTAAATGCGTTTCCACTATTCTCTTTCAGGTCTGGAAGGTCTGTTTTTGTGCAGCTCTTCCGGGTTATGAATGAAGTGGTGGACAAACCACCCTGGAGAACGTTACACTATCTCTCTGAAGTGTTCTAGCTTTGAGGTTGTCCCAGAGCACTCTGATCAGGAAAACTAGGGTTATCTCCAAAATCCTCATTTCGCTACAATGTCCATTCTTGAACTAATGTCCACAAATAGCATAAAAATGAGAGCATCAGGATTTACACCCAGCATCCCTTTCCCTGTGCAAGCTTTTCAACTGATTGAGATCTAAGAATACTTTGCTCTTTTAGTTTGTACAGCCGAAGTGCTGGTTGTAAATCACCAGGGCTTTTTAAAAGTTGGCTCCTTTTATTGTCGCTTATGGTCATGAGGTAATATATATGGCTCCTTCTGTTACCTTTTGGATTTATTCCTCAATAAATCTCCGTAGAGTAAGCAGTCTAGGATAGTAGAAGTACAAGCATCTTCCCAAGAGGTGAATCAGTGCACCTTGTTTAATCTTGAAATATAATCTGCTAGGGTGAGCGGACAAAGGTAAAAAAGACACACTCCGTCTTCATGCGCATTTATCGAGGGACTTTGGCGTATGTGTTCGCTGAAGCCAGCCACAATTGTAAATATCCCTTGAATCCTTTTGCCTGAATGTAAGCTTCCAACCTCTTTAAGCCAGATGGAGTCAAGAAATGTCACTGAATTATAATTTGGCTGGTGGATGGTTTGCAAGTAGTCCTCGATGTATAACCACAGTTGAGTCCAGCATCTTGATTGCTCAGTGAGACGGTTGCTAACTGAGTTTTGCACCATTTCGTGCCACAGTTGTTACGGGAATCACTGCAGCTGAGAATGGTTGTTGAGTGAATCTGGCTTCCCCCTTGACTTGGCTTGTCAGAAGGTCTCAAAAGGGGATTATGTGACCCCAGCGCACTGCGACTGTCGTAAACACGAGTCAGTTGCCAAGGGTCTGAATTTGGCTCACACGGCCACAGGAATGCTGCAACGGCCATAAGTGTGAAAAAGAGTCGTCAATCACTTTTTTCAGTGCCGTTCTAACTTCGAACAGCCACTAAACAAATGGTTGTAAGGCGAGGACTACCTGTATTTATCAACAGGTAGAATTTAAGCTCTTATTAAGCTATGGTTACCTGGTTTAATTTCTTGTTAAAGTACCTGGTATCTCCATACCGAAAGGTTCATTCTCTTCTGTGGTCTGAAAATAAATGGTTATACTCACACACACACACACACACACACACACACACGCCCCTTGTTGTTACAAGCTAGTATTGTTCAAAATATCCTCCTGTCACCAGAACCTTAGAAGAGGAAGTTGTATGGAAATAGACTAAACAGGAAATAGACAATGGAGAGGGTGAGAGGTTTCCTGGGGCCACGTGGTTCAGGAGATGTCCTCAAGGATTGGTATTTTAACTAGGCCACTGATTCCTTTATTTCTTTCTTTCTTGAGCTCAAAATAACAAAACATCTGTCCTTGTATTTTGGGGCCCTCATTGTAATTGAGTCACACCTCACCTATTGTTACTTTTCAATTATTGCAGTGTGTCCATCTTCTCAGGTTTCCTGCCAACTTCCTCACCTTGAAAAAATGTCAATCGCTATTTTTACGATGAAAAGTCATTATAAATTTATTTATAAAACTACATAGGATGCCAACTCAGTGATTTGAGATTTACAAAAGTAGCTATATCGGGCAAATTTTAGGATTAAAGAGCTATTTATGAGAAGTCGGACCCCTTGTGCCCTGTTGGCTCTGTTTCAGAGATATTTCCTTACCTAAACAGAGAAGCAGAATGACCACAGGTAGGCAAAAGAGCAATGGGAGCACCGCCCGACTTCCTGATGGCTCCCCCGTTGACTTTGCCTGAATAAAGCCAGTCAGGAACTTTCAACAAGTGACGGTAGCAGTTTGGTACCATGTAGGGCACATTCTATTAAGCTTATTTGAGGTACCTTGATTAAAAAAAAATGTTGCTGTATGGTGCACCATTTCACCCAATTGAAGGTTACAGTCAAACAGGCCCGAAAGTTTTAGTGGAATATATATGATGCCAGTTAATTCTGCTTCCTTGTCTTTTTACATCCAAATACCGTGGATCAAATCTGTGTTTGATTTGGCAGATCCAGGATTGATTCAGCCAGAAATCTTTCTTTTTTGCTTGCTTTCTTTTTCTTCTTCTTTTTTCCTCCTCCTCCTCCTCCTCCTCCTCCTCCTCCTCCTCCTCCTCCTCCTCCTCCTCCTCCTCCTCCTTTATATTTAAAAAAGAGGCTTGGATTAGGACTCTGATTTGGGGACTTAATCTTTCTCTTATGCAATCCCTGATCTGTGGTTGTTTTCATTTGCCTTTTTTTTACACAGGTAGTCCTCGACTTACAACTGCAATTGAGCCCAAAATTTCCTTTGCTAAGTGAGATGTTTGTTAAGTAAATTTCACTCCATTTCGTGACCTTTCTTGCCACAATTGTTAAGGGAATCACTGCAGTTGTTAAGTTATTTACCCGGTTGTTAAGTGAATGGGGCTTCCCCATTGACTTTACTTGTCAGAAGGTCGCAAAGGGGGATCACATCACCCTGGAACACTGTGACCGTCATAAATATGAACCAATTGCCAAGCATCCAGATTTTGATCATGTGACCATGGGGGATGCTTCAATAGTCGTAAGTGTGAATAATGGTTGTTGGTCACTTTTTTCAGGGCCGTTGTAACTTCAGACAGTCACTAAATGAACTGTTGTAAATTGAGGACTAACTGTAGTTTGTAGCTCAGTGTTTAATAATCCTCTGCTGCTCATCTTTATGATGTGGGGATCTACTAGATCTTGCCCTTGTTGCTCTAAGCTAGTCTTGGCATGTTGTTTCAGCCTCAACGCTATTTAAACTACAAAATACCTTTCACAGCACTGTTTTCAAAACAAAATCGTGTGTGATCTGCATCGTATTACCTTAATCTGGAGGAAGCAGAACAGAATCTTCCTCGTTCGCTTTTGCTGTCTTTGACGCCTGCCACTGTTTTGAATTCTCTGTTACTCAGTGTATAAATATGTTCATAATTATTTTGGTTGCGCTGAGCCTATTTTTCTCGTGGCTTATGTTGTGACATATCCCTTGAATGGCTTTCTGCTTTTTATATAACGTTTTCCAACTGGTGGTATTTATTGGTTAGGTTCCTGTCTTTTAAGAGCTCATGGTGACATAATTTCTGTTCCTTTCCCCCACCCCATTTTCCCACGCTCACAAGCCTGCCAGGAATGGACGGGCAGAGTGTGGCTGACCTTTCAAAGATACCAGAGAGATTTCCGTGGCTAAGGATGGCTTGGGAATCTTGGTGGCCCTGCACCTAGTCTGGCATCTTACTCACTGCTGTGCAGTGGCTCAAAGTCACCCAGCTGGCTTTCATGGTTAAGGTGGGATTGGAACTCACCGTCTCCTGATTTCTAGATCACCACCTTAACCACTACACCAATTCATATTGCAAGCATAACTTGAGCAAATACGACTTACTAGCAGTTTGTGCTTTCGGACATATAGATCCCCTTTGTCTAATCAGATGTAAGTGAAATGTGGAGCTATCATCTTTAGGCAATAAAACAGTCCTTCCTTCCTTCCTTCCTTCCTTCCTTCCTTCCTTCCTTCCTTCCTTCCTTCCTTCCTTCCTTCCTTCCTTCCTTCCTTCCTTCCTTCCTTCCCATCATTCCTTCCTTCCTTCCTTCCTTCCTTCCTTCCTTCCTTCCTTCCTTC